ACTGATTAATCGATTATCAGTAGGCGATAATCGATTATCACACGGCTCTGAACTCAGAAATCAGTAAAGTGGTTTTTGATTGAACATTAAAGATTTTATCATTTAGGAACACACTTGACTAAATACCATTCCCACTATATATGGACGAAATTCCCATGTTATATATTATTCAACAAAATCAAAGACTTTTATAAGCTTAATCCCTCATCCATGTGCCTGCCCAAAAAGTCTTTGATTGAATAGTAATATTCTGTCCTATATTTCACTAAAGTCAAGCCATGTTGTTTCCTTTATTCCTTCACTCTAAGGACGAAAATCATACATAAAACCACTCAAAATATATGCCAAATTCCCTGATCATTAGCCAAGAATTCAACTCATTTGGGATATTAACACATGCACAGCATTTGTTTTATTTTGTAGGAAAGAAGTGGGAAGTTTCCTTTGTTGTATTTTATTTATCATGTAATCATGTTTATTGTATTCTTTTCTCCATTCCCAAGGCCTATATATTTCAGCCCTGGTTCATTGTATAATCAGATTGTATTGAATGAAAAACTTTGTTTACTCTTTTGAGTATTCTCTTAAAATAGTGTGATGCTATTTTAACCAAATTTCCTAATGAAATATCTCTAAAGTTGGCTACTTTTGAGTGTGTGTTAGGAGTCTATTTTATACATTAGTAGTGATTATTATTGTGTAAAATAGATATCAGCCCCAAATATAATAAGAGTGTGTTTATCTCTTATTCTTTATTTGGTTTATCCATCCTTGTTCTCTATCCATTTCGTTCCTCTCCATTTTCTCTTCCTAAACCACATTCTATTCTATCTTCATAAATCAAAACACCAAAAAGAACTCCTTCATCACCGCCATATTTACCCAGCCATTTCCAACAATCGATTATCATAAAAGTGATAATCGACTATCGGGCATCTCAGAACATTCGTGGTTTGGAAATCATATCTTGTTAATCGATTATCAGTTAATGATAATCGACTATCACGCGTTTCAGAACTTTGGAGTTCAAAGTTGTTTCCTTCTTGCTTCCATTTCCTCTGTAAACCCGCCATCAAATTGATTACTTGATAAGACCCCGGGTCTCGGGTACAACATTCAGGCATCAAAACGCTTAAAGAAATATCACAGCTTTATTGGAAATCTCAAGAACTCGGTTTTAACAATATTTCTAAAAAGAAAAATTACATTGAATATTGGGGGAGACCTAAAGTCCCTATTACATTCTAAATACATCATCATCAAAATCTATAATATTTTTCCCAACACCTTGATAGCGGATGCTCCAAGCACATGACCGGAGATGCATCCAAGTTTCTACAAATCAAACCCGCTAAAGGAGGAAACGTAATCTTTGGAGATAACAGCAAAGGAAAAATTATCGGCATTGGTTCAGTAGGTAAGTTCGAAGACTCCTATACAGATAATGTCTTGCTTGTTAAGGGTCTTAAACACAATCTCTTGAGCATAAGTCAATTATGTGACAAGGGAAACCGTGTGACCTTCGATTCAAAATCATGCACGGTAGAACGCCTTAGTGACAATAGGGTCATTCTACGTTGTGATAGAATTGATAACATATATATGGTTAACTTAGACAAATCTCCTTCCGGCTTTGCTAAGTGCCTCATGAGTACAGAGGAAGACACTTGGTTATGGCACCGAAGGGTAGCTCATATGAACATGAACCTTTTGAACAAATTGGTTTCACAAGACTTAGTAATTGGCATTCCAAAACTTAAGTTTGAAAAAGACACCATATGTGATGCATGTCAAAAGGGGAAGCAAGTTCGGGCTTCGTTTAAGTCTAAGAACGGTTTTTCAACGTCTAGACCGCTTCTAGAACGAAAAGTTTTGGTGGCAATTACTTTGCGTTTGTGATTGTCGATGACTACTCTAGGTTTACATGGACCTTGTTTCTAACTCGTAAAAGTGAGGCATTTCACGTTTTCAAAAATTTTCTAAAGAAAGTTCAAAATGAAAAAGAAACAACCATAGTAGTCATAAGAAGCGACCATGGGGGAGAGTTCGAACGAAATCTATTCTCAGATTTATGTGACGAACTTGGCATTGATCATAATTTCTCAGCCCCACGTACACCACAACATAATGGAGTGGTGGAACGTAAAAATAGATGTCTCGAAGAGATGGCTAGAACTATGATCAATGAGGCAAAAATCCCTAAGTATTTTTGGGCGGATGCCATGAGTACCGCGAGCTACGTGTTAAACCGAGCCGTCATTCGACCGATACTCATGAAAACGCCAAACCTTTCCCATCTTCGAGTCTTTGGTTGCAAATGCTTTATTCATAACAATGGCAAAGACAATTTAGGCAAATTTGATGCCAAGTCGGATGAAGGTATTTTTCTGGGTTACTCATTACGTAGCAAGGCCTATAGAGTCTTCAATAAACGTACTTTGACTATTGAGGAGTCCCCTCACGTTGTATTTTCCGAAGATAATCCTCGCTTGGCGAGAAAGGATATTTGTGATGATCTTGCAGATTTATCAGAGAGAATACACGTTGATGACGATGAAGAGAACACGGGAATATACACCAACACGCAGCCGCAAACTGAGGAGATACCTCAAGCGACCAACCAAGGTGGAGAAGAAAATCAAGAGGAAGAAGAAGAACAAGAGGAACACGAAGAAGAAGCAACCAAGCTTCCCGTTGCATGTAGAACAAACAAGAATCATCCGCTTGACCAGGTAATCGGCAGCATCAACCGCGGGGTAAGCACTCGTAACTCACTTAGGGACACCGTAGGACACATGGCCTTTGTTTCTCAAATTGAACCTACAACCATTTCCGAAGCAATAAACGATGAACATTGGACCTTGGCTATGCAAGAGGAGCTAAACCAATTCAAACGGAATGACGTTTGGGAATTGGTGCCAAGACCCGATGATCGTACGGTTATTGGTACGAAATGGGTGTTCCGTAACAAACTTGATGAAAATGGAATAATCACTAGAAACAAAGCTAGGCTCGTAGCTAAAGGCTACAATCAAGAAGAAGGCATTGATTTCGAAGAAACTTATGCACCCGTAGCACGTTTAGAAGCTATTCGTTTACTTCTTGCTTTTGCTTNGTCTATGGATTTTAAACTTTATCAAATGGATGTTAAGAGTGTCTTCCTCAATGGTTTTATTCAAGAGGAAGTGTATGTTGACCAGCCCCCAGGGTTTGAAGACTTTGAGTTTCCCGACCATGTCTTCAAACTCAAGAAAGCGCTCTACGGTCTTAAACAAGCACGCCGTGCTTGGTACGAACATTTGAGTAAATTTCTTTTGGATAGTGGTTTCCAAAGGGGAAAGGTTGACACTACACTTTTTATCAAGGATAAAAACAATAACATCCTTTTGGTTCAAGTTTATGTAGACGATATTATATTCGGTGCTACTAACGAATCTCTATGCAAGGAATTCTCAACGCTAATGACAAGCGAATTTGAAATGTCCAAGATGGGTGAGCTTACATTCTTTTTGGGACTCCAAGTCGAGAAAATGGAAGATGGCACGTTCATTTGCCAAACCAAATATTGCAAGGAGCTCCTAAAACAATTCAAAATGGACAATGCCAAAGCCATGGCGACCCCGATGAGCACGTCCGACCATCTAGACAAAGACGAAAAGGGTAAGGAAGTAGAAGTCAAAAAGTATCAAGGTATGATCGGATCCCTTCTCTACCTTACCGCTAGTAGGCTGGATATCATGTTTAGCGTATGCCTTTGCGCAAGGTATCAATCATGTTTGAAGGAATCGCACTTAACCGCGGTGAAACGGATCATGAAATACCTTGTCGGGACGGTTAACGTTGGACTGTGGTATCCAAAAGGTTTTTCTTGTCATCCCGTTGGCTATTCCGACTCGGACTTTGCCGGTTGCAAATTGGACCGTAAAAGTACGAGTGGGACTTGCCACTTACTTGGTAGCTCTTTAGTTTCATGGTTTAGTAAGAAACAAGTCAGTGTTGCGTTATCCACAACCGAAGCGGAATACATTGCCGCCGGTAGTTGTTGTGCTCAAATCCTTTGGATGAAGCAACAACTCGTGGATTATGGCCTTAGTATCAGTCACGTTCCACTTCGTTGTGATAATACTAGCGCCATAAGCTTGACGAAGAACCCCGTTCTTCATTCAAGAACGAAACACATTGACATTAGGCACCATTTCATTAGAGATCATGTTCTCAAAGGTGATGTCGAAATTGAGTTTGTTGAAACACACAACCAATTAGCCGACATTTTCACAAAACCTTTAGAGAAAGAGTCGCTCTTCCGCATTCGTAGTGAACTCGGAATCCTTGACTCCACGATGATCTAATTTGTTCATTTTATCACTCTCTTATCCTTGTTTGAACGTCCACTAACTTGAGCGTCGGAGGGTTTTCTAACTCTTTTTTGCAGGGACGGTTCGAGGTGAAGGAATCCGGAAGTCAGGGGGAACCAGCGATGGGTGGGTGGAAGTTTTCCTTTTTTCCAGAACTCCTCCTCCCATCGATGGGTACTTTCTCCCATCGATGGGTAATTGACTCTATTTTTTTAAAATTTTAACGGACTTCCAGAAACCCCTTACCCATCGATGGGTATTTTATCCCATCGCTGGGTGAAGGACTTTTGTCAAAAATATTTTTTCCAGAACCTCCCTACCCATCGATGGGTAAATCCTCCCATCGCTGGGTGTTTGACACTATTTTTTTTAAAAAAAGGTTTTTTAACGGATTTCCAGAAAGAACCTTCCCATCGATGGGTGAAACATACCATCGCTGGGAAGGCAGCCTTGTTTTCTCCTTCGCTTTCCAGTGACGACCTTCCCATCGATGGGAAGTTCCACCCATCGCTGGGAAGCCTGCTGCAAATTCAAATTTTTTAACCAATTGTCACTGAATTTATTTCCCAATAGCCACTTTTTTCAAATTCAAACGGAAATCTCACCCTTTCCTATATATATCCTTCATCCCCACTTATTCTAACACACAATTTTCACATCAAAATCTCCTCTTTTACATAATTCTTCATCTTTTTGCCTCAAAAATGGCCGGAGGAAAGTCCAAGAGCAAAGCTTCCAAGAAGAAGGTCACTGCCGAGGCTACGTCATCTGCGGATCAACCCTTCCCATATCTAGACGAATCCTTCTTGGAGTTTGGATCGGAAGAGGAGCTCACTCGCTTCATCACCAACTTTGCCAAACGCCCCATCTCTCCGCCTAGGGTGCTGCCCGAGTTGTTCCCTCAACAGAAGGGATACCACGATCTCGACAACCAACTCAAAGAGTCGGGTTTATGGCCCTTCGTCTCCAAGAGCCGCACCTCCTTTAATCCCGCCTATGTCCGGGCCTTCTACTCAAATCTCCGCCGGGACGGCGACACCATCCGCAGCAGCATCAATCTCTACGACATAGAGATTGATTTGACTACCTTTGCTCGGGTCGCAGGGCTGCCCACCCGCGGTGATGACATCGCGACATATGGTGGCGATGATTGGATTCTCAACAACGAGGCGGTGGTCATCCGAGAGCTTGGAATCACCAACCTCATCCGTCACAGCGGTGCACCAACCATCCACTCAGCCCCGCCGGAAAAGCGTCTTCTACTCTACATCCTCACCCGGATTCTTCGCCCCCGGGACAGTAGCCACACATGTCTCTTCAACGAGGATCTCAAGGCCGTTCATGCCATCACCCATGGCGCCTCGATCAATTGGGCAAAATACGTCATGATTCACATGGCGGATTGCGCCTCCACCGCCACCGAGAGGAGTTTGCCATACGCCTTTCTCGTCATGGATCTCATTGTTGCCTCTGACATCCACATCGCCGGCCCGGATACGAAGATGACGAAGATTTGGATCATCCAAGACAGCACCTTCCGGAAGAAGTCCAGTGACAGAACTGGCGCAGGACCAAGTCGGCCACCAGCCCCCGCTCCCGCCATGGCCTCCTTACAGTCTATAGCCGATACCCTGAATCGGCTAACCATCACCGTGGACGGCATGGGCCAATACTTGGAGCGGATGGATGGCACGCTGCAACGCCAACACCACGACACTGAGGGCGTTCTTCCGCCCTTTGACAACACCTTCCTAGGCCAAAACTATGAAGGCGAGGATGAGGAGGATAACTCCTATCCTCTGTCCTCCTCCCCCGACGAGGCCAACTTTGAGGACGCGGTCGATGGGGATCCCATGGATGTCGAGGACGACGAGGATGACGATGACGATGACAATGAAAACGAGGACGAGGACGCCGATGCCTAGACTCTTCCTTTCTTTCCTTTCCCTACTATGATTGCATTTTTTTATTTCAATTCCGTTGTATTCTGCATTTCCCTTCGTTTAATGAATAAAAGTTCACTTTTAAAGTGTACTTTTAATTCTTTTTGTTAATGTCAAAAGGGGGAAGATATCAAGGTTATGCATAAATTGAGGGGGAATTTTTTTTAAATAAAATGGCATCTATTAAGGGGAACATTTTTTTTAAGTCTCAAAACAATCCTCATATGCATAACCTCATCTCGTTTGCCATTATCAAAAAGGGGGAAATTGTTGAAACACAGGCTTGTCACGTTTTTCGTATTAAAGCCGTGTTTGTTTTTATGACAGGTTTTGATAATGCTAAACCGCCGTGATCAAGTCAAACATTGAATATACAAGGCGAAAAACGAAGATAAGAACAAGAGCTAAACGAAGACCTTAGTCTTAGTATCGTTGAGTCAGTCTTTATTGTGATCAAGACCGACCCAATCTTTACACCTTGGCTCTTTAGGCTAAATTCATTTCATTGCATTTCTTGCATCATAAAAATGTTTTTCAAACATGTGTAAATCATTAAAAACACTTGGTGTACGCCCAAACCAAAAACCAAGCCATCCAGTGTTCGGCTTTCAGAAACCAGCGTTCGCTTTCAGTTATCGGCATTGGTTTTTGGCGTCCGAACCAACCAAAGTTTTCAGCATTTTATGATTGGTTTTCACTCCTTGGCATGTTTAAACGGTTCTCCAACAAAAACACTTTGAAACCCATCTTTCGCTTTTGGTCGTTTGACAAAAACAACGCAAAACGGCGTAAACTTGGCTAGCCGTGGTTTTTACTCAAATGACGTGGTTTTTAAAGTAACTCACTCGATTTCTCAGCCAAATACATCAAATAATGGTTTTAAACACTTGGTTTTTATTTTGGAGAACTTTGGATTTTTCGGTCGGTTTTTGCATCGGTTGGCTAGGCCGTGGTTAAGGCAAAGACCATGGGTTTTTGGCTAACCACCCACCCAGCGATGGGAAGATCTTCCCATCGATGGGTAAGCGGTCCCTTAGCCAAACCAACTTCCAGAACCATGCCAAACAGCGATGGGAGGTTCTACCCATCGCTGTTAAAGCCTTGGTGCAACATTAACACAAGGCAGAACGGCCTTGCCCAGCGATAGGAAACCTATCCCATCGATGGGAACCCAGCGATGGTAAGGATATACCATCGATGGGTAGGCATGACCGTTGGAAGTCATTTAAGTTTGATTCTTTCCTTGTTTGGAAGTCAACCTCCCACCCAGCGATGGGAAGCTTGTACCCATCGATGGGTAGGCAACCGTTGGCTTCTAAACTGAAGGAAAATTGGCTTACCAGCGATGGGTAAGTTCCAAACATCGATGGGAAGCCAATATCCTGCAGATCCCAAATTTATTCAATCCCTTAAATCAAGCCAATCACCCCTTTAATGCATTGGTCCGTTGGAGCCTATTTTTGCACTATAAAAAGGGGTGTTTGGGTCTACCTTTCTCACCAATTCACTTCACAATTCTTCTACTTTCATTGCATTCAAACAACATCTTTTTCCATAGCTTTTTAGAGCCATTTTGTGTGAAGGTTGAGTTGTTCTTGAGCGTACATAGTTTACTCAATATCTACTCTAAAAGAGAGTCTTGTTCTTGAGTGCTTTTGTGTTCTAAGACACCTTGAGAGAAAGTATTTCTCTCGTTTGATTCAAAGGAAGGACTGTTTCCTTTGAAGGATTCGTTGAGGTTCGTGTGACTCGACTCTCAAGTTGTAAGGGTTTGTTAAGCACCGTTAAGCTTAACGAGATAGTAGTGTAGCTCGAGAGAGTCTCTCGGGAGGCTGGATTAGCCACAAGTTGTGGTGAACCAGGGTAAAATTCGGTGTGCCTCTTACTCTTCTCTTTACTCATTGTTTTTATTTTTTAATTCCTGCGATTTCTTCGATCAAACGCTATTCACCCCCCCCCCCTCTAGCGTTGGTCTATTATTCTAACACCAAGAACTAGCTCTTACGCAAATCACGATGCACGACCTCCCTCGTTTGGCCGTTCTTCTCTTCGACTTTGTCTGCCCATTCGTTCCACTATGTCTGTTCCGTTCGTTGACCGGAAACATCACCAAGCCTCACCGTCGATCACTGTCACCCTCTTCATCCTCCCTCCGTTGTCACATGTCAGTTGGGCCAAGCCATGGGCTGCATCGGCAGTTCTTCAATTTTCAAGGTGAGTCGTAGATTCTATACCTATCGTTAGCATTAATTCATGGATTAGGAATTCATTAGCATATAATCTTGCAATTTGATTGTGAATTGGGTTGTTTGTGATTGAATTAGATGAAATGGTTGTTTGGGGTCGTTTTCCGCCACCTTCTCCAGCGACCAGCCGGTGATGACAGCGGCAAACTTGCCCTTAATTGGATTCAATTGGCACCAATTGGGTCTAATTAGGTTCAATTGGGTCCAAACAGATCCAATCGGGTTCAATTGGACTATTTGGATTTATTTGGTACAATTGGGACTGATTAGATTGATTTGGAGTGATTAAGGGACTCTTTGGGTATCTGTGAACCACAAAACAAGCCTGATTGGTTTGGTTTTGGGTTTAGATAATTGGGTCAGCAACCTGTAGGGGTGCTGGGATTGGTCGTGTAACGCCCCAAAATATACCCTAAAAGTATTAATGAATAATTATTCAATCAATCAAATTTGTTTTGATTAAAATAAATTGTTTTTGGGATTTGAGCCAAAATAAAATATTTTTTGATAACCAAGCACACAATCTGGATATGTCTCATAGAGATAAATCATATATGTTGACTTATTATGTGATCTTAATTGAGAACCTGAGTACATACCCAAATTAAGAGTAAATAAAAAAATTTCTTATGATGTGAACTTGAAAGGGTTTATTGAAATAAATCATGAGAATAAATAATATGTATGGAATATAAGAACCTTTTTGAGTAAAGTTCAATTAAACCAATTTTGACTCTGTCAAAGTCAAACCCCAAAAATATGATGTCGGAAAAAGTATTACAAATAATTATGAAAAATATATCTAGACTAAAAAATGTGCCCTGACTGGACCAAAATTGGTCCCAATCAGGGACGGCGCCACCCAGCGCACTAGCCGATTGTATAGCCAATAGTGGAATCACGAAAATCACAGCCTCTGTCTTCCCCCTCTTCATTTTCCAATATAAGGAGAGAGCCAACTTCCCATTTCTTCACCTTTCTTTATGAAATTAATACCATTAGAATCTTGAGAGTGAGAAGAACATTCTGCAATAGTTGGTTGCCGCCGAAGTCGCCGGAGTTGGGAGTAATTGCCGCAGGAAGTTTCACCAGAAAATTTCTTAAACCTTTGATAAGTTTCGAGGTAAGCCTGTAGATATATCTAATGACTAGAATGTTCGTATAGATCGTTTTTATGTTCATAAACGATCTTTTGGTTGAGTTATGTGTTTGACATGCTTGAAGAACCAAGAATCATAAACCATGAAATTGTTGTTAAAACTAAGAATGAATGATGCCAAACTGATTTATGAATTGTGGAGAACATTTCTATATACTTTAATTGAAGTTTGGTGACTAAACATGACATGCTCGTAAGTTGACTAGAGGTAGAAGACGATGAATAATCGATTATTAACTTAAAAATCGATTACAGTTTGTTCTACAGATTTTTGAACACAATAGCACAACAATCGATTGTCACATTCTGAAAATTAATTATCATCCTGCTCTAAAAATGAACGAGAAGCAAATAATCGATTATCAGAATATGATAATCGATTATCACCCTATTCTGAAAGTCAAATAATCGATTATCACCTATGATAATAGATTGTCTCCCTACTCTACTGAAGAAAATGAAGTCAGTAGCTATGAATCGATTTTCCTATCATACATTGATCGATTATTGTTCAGAAAACATGATTTTTGAACTATGGAATCCTATTTTTGATACCAATCAATTATGATTAATATAAAGATGATTTCTTGAAATAAAAAAAGATGTTTTGACAACTAAGAGGACCTTACATGATGCATGACGGTAAGCTAGGGTGCTAACACTCGATGCTAGGCTGCTAATTGCTATTGAATATTATGATGATTATTGTTATTGATGACTATGATATATTGATGATGAACCTACTGATTAAAATGATTTTTGTGAATGATTTAAACTATGATTTGAAATGAATACATCGACGATTATGAAATGATTTGGACTGTAAGGGTATCTAGAAGAACTCTAAGATATACCCATTTAAGTTAGGCCTTGCGGGTATGATGCCCGGTGGCCAAGGTTAGAACGTATGTACGGGATCCAAGAACAAACTTGAGTACCTACTCGTTTGGGGATACTAGCTCAAGGATTATTTAGGAATACCTTAAACTGGAATATAGTTTAATTATCATAAACTAGAATTTGTTTAAGGGTTGATAAACATTAAAGAGAATGGCCTTAGACTAAGAGTAGTTTTAGGATATTGTTGAATGTTGAATATGAAAGATGAATATGGATGTTGAATGTTCAATATGACAGATGAATATGAATGTTGAATGATGAATACTGAATATTGATTATTGAATATCTAAACTAAATATTATATGCATAATTGATTTGATTATGAATTGAGATTTAATTTATATGGATTTTCGACACATTAGATATGCTTACTCAGCTTCAATGCTAAGCGTGTAGTGTGTTTTATTTGCTACACGCAGGTTAATAGAAAGAATAATGTGACATGATTCTAGAAGCAGATGGAGGCGAGATTGTCAAAATGGATGTGATGGTTTTGAATTACATAAATAAATTATGTTTGTGATTTTGATTTGTTAAGCTTCCGCATTATTGAAAACTCCGTACTGTTTATGTTATAAAAATATTATTGTGATATATAATAGTGTTTGAAATGTTTTAAATTTTTACGATTACCATGTTAATACTTTAGTTTGAAAGGGGCTACAGACCTAGACGGATTAGGGTGTTACAATTTGGTATTAGAGGAAATGGTTTTAAAACCAATCTTCATATCAAAATTTGATTTAAAAAATTGTCAATCACATCCACGACTCTTGCATCCCTCTGCTCCAGAAAGGTAATGAGAATTAATTTGATAAAATATTGACTGTCAGATAACAATTGTTAGTACAAAAAC